GGTGGAACCTCTGTGTTATGTTAAAGCACTTGTGCTGTGTTGTTCTGGGTCTCTTTGTTCAAATAGAGTAAACAGAGTACATTACTTCTGCTTGTAGTACTGCACTTGAAAAATCTTTTCCATCCTTTATTATCTGCATCCAAAATCCCAACATTGCACAACATCCAAAGGTTAAGTCACCAGTAGAGGTTATATATTCTTCATTTCACCATCCCTATATTTAAGTATGTTGGAAAATATATTGTTGTCTATTGTATCGATATCACTACAAACGTTTACACTGTGTCTACCTACTTAATACGTGTCTATTGTATCGATATCACTACAAACACTGTGTACACTGTGTCTACCTACTTAATACATCTTTGACAGTGTACCTTTATCCCGCCTGTGATGTCTTTATATTTTTATTCTCAAGCTCACCTAATATTCTGTCTCGAACATCCTCTGAACACCGCTGTGCGACAGGCGCGAGGTGATCCCACAGTAGCGACCTGGAGAAAGTCACTGAATGTCCGCACTCCCATGGGTAACCGCCGGGCACCGGCCGCGGCTGCCATCAAACCAACAGCTCGGTTAAAGGAAGACGATCCAGAGAAGGCGAGGCTGAGACGTTCCCAACAGTGACAGCGAGAATGCGTTTGACACAAACCGGCTGCTTTTGTTCGCGTTTATATAACGGCAGTAAGCATTTAATCTGGACTTCCCCCGAATACGTGTCTCCTGTCGCTTTCACAGCTGTAGTTTGAACCACTGGTGTTAGCGAACGTAGGCTAGCCCAGTGTTAGCTTGTCACTAACAATCGCGACATGTAGCCGCGTTCACCTGTCAGTTCAAAGTTATCACATTACTTTCACCTCAAGACACAACCCGACATCTGTATACCAGTATTATTTTGACCAGTTTCGCTCCCAATATCGTGAAATATCTCCCAGCTACTTTCGACCTTCTGTCGATAATAAAACACCGGTGGGACAAACTGTTCTTCTCATCTACGCCTTTATCCAAATGACCCCTCTAAGGCGAAAGCCCGCCAACTGGTGTGGAGGAGGAATAATTGCGCCGCTCATAGAAGTGCTCATGGAAGTATTTGCGCACTTATTCTAAAATATTGAAATCAAACGCAATATTTATATTCTAGGGCGCCGGTAGTATTCTCAGAAGTTTGCTAGCCTAATCTTACTATGGCAAATAAGCCGTAAAACGCACTACATATTATTGCTTTACGAGTAATCTACACCTTGTTTTATGAGTGCTGCGAGTAAAGAATACTACTTGAAATTATTTACGTAGTTAGAAATTTTGATCTGACGAGTTAACCAGTGTATTAGTGTGAAGTAGTGAAATCTCCTTTGATCTCACTAGTTGCCATATTTTTTGGTGGCGTGCGATACATGGTAATTAGTATTCTCTAATGTGCACATTTTACTCAACTCATAGTGGTTCATTTATCTTTGATCAAACAATGGAAGCTGTATGTCAGCTTTTTTTTTTTTTGCAGTACTGCACGTTTATGTACTGAATATGTATGCCAGCACAGACTGTTTTGTACAAAGGTGTGGTCTCTTTAATGAACAAATTACCTTTCTGCAGCTGTATACACATAATGAGTGTGCTTATATGACATGATGATCTGCTGTAAGTTTTTTTTGGAGGTGTCAGGAACATTAGGAATCAGATTGTCAGCAAAAGCACCTTATTTATTTCTTGTAAAGTGTTTTTATCATTTGCTGATGAAAAAAAATGCACTCCCGTTATTTATATTAAGCTGAGGCAGTGATGGAGACAAGAATAATCTAAGGGTGGGTGGACAACAGAAAGGGCAATTAATGTCGAAACTAATAAAAGCTTTTACCCACAGGTCGTTGGGAGTGACGCCCCTGCTATGAATTTGACAAAAGAATATTACAAATTTCAACTTATATTGTAAATAGGCCGAATGTGTTTTGCACATTAATAAATGAATACAGCATATTTGTTAAAATGTAACAAATAATAAAAAAACAATATGACAAACTAATAACAATAGTGGGTTTATTTGTGTTTATTTGTTTCATACAAATAAAACGTACTTGACTTAATTTGTCCACACCGGGGCGCCCTTTCCCCCTGAGGCGCCGGGTGCAGACCGCCACGCCTGTAGGCGGACCAGCACAGTCGTAGCCAGTATCGTCAGACCAGACACTGGGTACAGACAACAACAGTGACAGATCGAGACCGTAATTCTGTTTGCAACCAGCAATGGGTGTAGTCTAGAGAGTGGGCACAGTAGCGCACCGCAGTATACCTCGCAGTTTTATCCTCATGAAGGAGCTCCGTCCTGGCTGAGTTTGGGAGATGGGAGTACACAACATTGCAGACCAGGTAACCGCTGTGAAACAAGGCGCTCGGTGTTTGTGCTGTGGCGCAGTCTATTTGCTGATAGGGACCCGCTGTTATGCGCAGCTCACTGTGGCTTTCCCTCACTGGCAATCGCTACCTTAATATTTTATAGGATTGTGCGAATATCACCTGTCTTTTACGCTTGTGTAAAATGCTTAAATGTCAGTAGCGGAGGTGAGGATTGATATATGCAGGCTTGCGTTGTTACGTTGTTCTGGCTTAGGCCGTGGCCTCATCCAGAGCTAAAACAGAAGCAGCTAAAGCTAACAGCTAAGTCCGTTTGCCTAGTTGACGTAAAACGGCCTGTAGGCCTCACCCCGGGTTCTGGCTATTTGCTGAAAAGAAGTAGGCATCATATTGTGATGCACTAGAGCAGACCCAACAAATAAACATTTTAACGTATCAATTTCGTACAGTAGTTGATTTTATCGTCGTCGTTTTGGCTATATAGTGCAACGTTATCGTGACGATGTCTGACCTGGTGTTTGTGAATTGCAGCCTCCTCTGGTCCAGGCCATCTTCAAACGTAATGCTGAAGAAATTCAACTACTATTGCACAAAAAGGAGGATGTCAATGCACTGGTATGTGTGGAGGGTATTCAGTTTGCATGTGAACCAGACCAATGTCATTCAAAGACTAGACATAAGAATTAAACTAGGGCATTAGCATTAAGTGCGTGTATCTTGTAAAATACGTGTTTATTCTGCAGGACCAAGAACGTCGTACGCCACTTCATGCTGCTGCCTGTGTGGGTGACGTCCATGTAATGGACCTCCTCATTGAATCAGGTAAGATTGATGTTACAGGAATGGGATGCAGAGTTCTGAGAAACCGGGTTGCACTCCGAGCCCTCTGCAGCTGCAGCCTTCATATCACTGGTTTAACATGGATGTTTGTTTGTCCCCCAGGTGCCAGTGTTAATGCTAAAGACCACATATGGTTGACCCCTTTGCACAGGGCAGCTGCTTCAAGGAACGAGGTAAGAGATAAAGCTGCATTGTTTTATTGTTACATCGGTCTCAGTATGTCCTATGTTATATCCAGACTTTGATTAAAAAGGGTTTTCTTGAATCAGATATTTTGTGTCGTAATGTATTTGTCTGCCTGAGAATGTGAAGCTCTTAAAATACTGGTGGTTTTTTTAATTAACTTCACATGAATGAGAGTGAAACTGTGTTACTAGTCATTCATTTGTCATATTTTCCAGTTTCAAATCATCAGTTTGAACTTGCCATCATTAAAAAGTGGTTTCACTTGTACTGCCTTCAGCTTTGTCCTGTATCCTGTCAGGAATTGAATACAATGTTAAGTTTGAAGTGTGATCCTGTTTAGAAGAAATTAAACATTTGCACTGCGTGTGCAGCCATGTAGAATAAATGTGCAAAGAGACTATGATATTTATAAAGTGGTTATAAAAGAAATACAAAAGAAAACAAATTGAAATTTTACCACAAGTCAGTTAAAGAAGTGACACGTATAAAAACAAAAATAGTACACCAAAGAAATAGCAGCAAACGAGAAGTAGAGTGAAACTCTGTGGGCTGAGCAATTGTCTGTTGTATCGTGGATATAAACTGTAGCTCTGGTGAGAATCCTCCTGGCACCCTCTGCTGTCAAGGAGCTTGTTTTTGAATTGTTTGCTGTTCTAATGATGCAAGAGTGATCATGATTACAGCACCGGCTTTCACAAATTAAGATGCATCGTTTAATTGTTACACATCCTTCTTAATGAGTCTCAGGCCAAAGAACTTTTTGTTCTTTTGAAGAAAAAAAACAACAACATCACTGTAAACATGACAGAAAAATGTTTAATGCTTTCAGAATGAGAAACTACTTTGCTTATTTTGTCGTAGGAGTTAGTAATGTAAAGTAATCACTTTGGTAATTGACATAATCATTCTCTGATTCTCTGTTATTATATTCCTTCTCAGAGTAGAAAATGCAGCAAACTGCAGCATCTTTAATCGCTTGTAATATTTGGTTCTCTTCAGAGGGCAGTGGGGCTGCTGCTGAGGCGTGGAGCAGAGGCAAATGCTCGAGACAAGTTCTGGCAGACGCCGCTGCATGTGGCTGCTGCCAACCGTGCCTCTCGCTGTGCAGAGACCTTGCTTACCCAGCTGAGCAACCTGAACCTGGCAGATCGCACCGGCCGAACTGCTCTGCACCACGCTGCTCAGAGTGGGTTTCTGGAGGTAAGATCATTGTCTTGTTTTCTACAGTAATAAGAATTATGGGAGGGGGCAGTACATTTTTTCTAATTAACTGTTTTGCAGATGGTGAAGCTGCTGCTGAACAAAGGAGCCAACCTGAGTGCCATCGATAAGAAGGAGAGACAGCCCATTCATTGTGCTGCTTATTTGGGTAAGAGGGGTTGATTCAGTGGGTGCTGTGCTGCAACATTGAAGTGTTGGTGTTCATTTTTTCCTGATTTGGTTTCTCACAGGACACGTGGAGGTTGTCAAGTTGCTGGTGTCCCGCAGTGCAGACAAAAGCTGTAAGGACAAGCAGGGCTACACCCCTCTCCACGCTGCTGCTGCCAGTGGTCACCTCGAAATTGTAAAGTACCTACTGAGGATGGGGGCGGAGGTGAATGTTGGGTTTTCTTGGCGTTTCACGAGGCAGAACACGCGGAGGTCGCTTTGAATCTGTTTTGACTCTCGCTTATTCACACCTCAGATTGATGAGCCCAATGGTTTTGGAAACACTGCACTCCACGTGGCCTGCTACATGGGCCAGGAGGCGGTGGCCACGGAGCTGGTGAACCACGGAGCTAATGTTAATCAGCCCAACAAGTGTGGCTACACCCCCCTGCACCTGGCTGCCGTCTCCACCAACGGTGCCCTCTGTCTGGAGTTGCTGGTCAACAATGGGGCAGATGTGAACCAGCAGGTATGAAACTGGATGATTGACGGCTGTCGTGTGATTTGGAGGTGTGTGTGTGTGATTTTGTTTTTGAGGCCAGAACAAAGTGTAAATGTGTGTTTGTTTTTTAAACCAATTCTGTAGTGTGTAGCACCTCTGTAGGTGGTTTAGACTCCTGTGTAGTGCTGCACTACAATACACTGGAGGTTTGTCCACAGTGTGTCGCCATGGCATTGATTGCTGCTGGGATTGACTCTTTGGATAAATAACAGTTGAAATCAGAAGAAAACATGGAGTTGACTTTTGTTTTCATCACATTTAAACATGAAATGTAGTTTGACCAAGTCAGAGGGGGCGCTGTTGTTTGTCTTACTGTTTTTTCACTGTTGTCAATACAAGTAAAGGGGAATAATGTGGATGGTTTCTTTCTTGTTTTCAAGTTTTTTTTACTGTTGGCAATACAAATTAAGTGAATAATGTGAATGATTTATTTCTTGTTTTAACAGAGCAAAGAAGGGAAGAGCCCCCTGCACATGGCAGCCATTCACGGACGCTTCACACGCTCTCAGATCCTCATCCAAAATGGTAACAGTGACTCTGCTGTTTGTCTAAACTGGAAGGATGTGGAGCTGCAGCTCTCTCTCTCTCCCTCCACATACTTCTTTGACTGACACTCTTCTTCACTTCTCATCAGGTGGGGAAATTGACTGTGTGGATAAGTATGGCAATACTCCTCTCCACGTTGCTGCTAAGTATGGCCATGAACTGCTGATCAGCACTCTAATGACCAATGGAGCAGACACGGCCAGGTATGACTGTTGGGGCTGTTTTTACCTCCGTCAAGTCATTGTTTAACACTTGAAATCAATAATGTACAATTCAGTCCATTCAATTTGAAAGTTCAGATTCACTACATGCATGTTCACCACACAAGATGTGATAACGTCACTTATCCAGCTATCACCTCAACTTGGTTCACTTTGATAGTCTGCACCGGGTTTCACTTGCAAGTAAACCAAGATCCATGTTTTTATGTGGACCAGAGTTTGCACCACATGAAGTGGACCTTAAAGTAAACGGCTCTGCTCCATTTTTAAAGCTGACCAAACACCACTGGTGATAAATCACTCTTAGGCCATGAGTGGATCATTAATGACATCCATTACCGAACCAATACCAGTTTCTATTTTGATTCCAGAGTGATGTCATTGAACAAACAATTGTTTATCAAATATATATTTTTGACAACCTTGTATTTTTATTGTGTGTTTGTGTTTCCAGACGTGGGATCCATGGAATGTTCCCCTTGCACTTAGCTGTGCTGTACGGGTTTTCAGACTGTTGTCGCAAGTTACTCTCCTCAGGTTTGTGCCTTAAACGTGTCGACCGACATCACTTTAGCTTCTGTTCTTTGACTCTTAACAACCAGATTTCTTTTCTACCGTTTTCTAACATATACAGGTCAGCTGTACAGTATAGTTTCATCCATGAGTAAGGAGCACGTACTATCAGCTGGGTTTGACATTAACACCCCTGACAACTTTGGGAGGACCTGTCTACACGCTGCTGCCTCTGGAGGGTGAGACAAACTGTCTGCTCTGATGAAGTGTCCGAGAATGTCAACAATTTTTTAAAAACCTTTTTTCTTTCCCTCCTGGATCTCTGTCTCCACAGAAATGTTGAATGTCTGAACTTGCTCTTGAGTAGCGGTACTGACTTAAACAAGAGGGACTTGATGGGAAGGTACATTTCAAGCTCGCCTTTTTTTTTTTTAAACAGAACATTTCAGATTTTTCCCCCACTCTAAATGTGTCTTTTTCCTTGAAGGACACCGTTGCACTATGCGGCTGCTAATGGGAGGTACCAGTGCACTGTGACCCTAGTGAGCGCTGGCGCTGAGGTCAACGAGCCTGACCAAACAGGCTGTACTCCCCTGCACTACTCTGCCGCATCCCAGGCCTTCAGCAGGTTGTAAGACTTGTCTCTCCATACATTTGGACAGGCTTGTTTTTGAAGTAGACAGATTGTAAAATGCAACTGGTACAGTTTTATTTTTTAATCAACTACTGTATTTTCTTGGACTATAATATACCTCCAATTCAGCTAAGGCCACAAGAGGGCACTGTCTACACTCGAGACAACTGAACACCTCTGCACAACCTGAAAGATGACATGACTAAACTATTATAAAACCATAAAGATCACAAAAATGCAACAAAACTGCCCCAGCAGAGGAGGAGACGGTGCTTCATTCTCCTTCAGTTGGAGGAATTGTTTAGAAGCAAAGTCCAGGATGAATGGAATTATTAGTAATGAATAAGATCAGGAACTTGTTGAACCTGATATTCTGAACCTTTAATGTATATTTGGCCTCTGTTCTGTAGGCTGTTATGTAAATGAATGAAGAGTCCTGATTACATGTGAAATAAAGTTTTAAAAGTATGGTATTTTTTTATTCCTTGACAAACTGGGCTGTAACGTATTGTCAGAGAAATCACAGAACTTCTGCATTAAATGCTTTCTAAGTTTCCTGACCTCAGGCAGATTGTTGAACGAGTTCTTGTTCTCTACAGAGTCGATCGTCATTTTTCCGGGAACCATCAGAACGATGAAGATGAGGCAAAGGAGTCGTACTTGTAAGGACATTTCTATCTTCTCCCTTCTGATAAGTTTGAAAAGCTTGAAATCAAATTAAAGGGCAGGAATCGACATATTTGTCATTTTTTAAGCCTCTGTTTTGTCTTTTTTTTCATGTAACAGCTGCTTAGAGCATCTCTTGGATAATGGTGCTGATCCATCAATGGTCAACTCAAAGGGTTACAGCGCTGTTCACTATGCAGCTTACCATGGCAACAAACAGAACCTGGAGCTGGTATGTTTATTTTTTGATGCGACATTTGAACATTACCACACTTGACAGAAAACTATGAGGATGTATTGGAGCTGAAGCAGCTGACCTGTTATCATTTTTAGTTATTATCTAGAACATTAATGTTTGAAGATGTTGGTCAGCACTCACTGACCGCTGACACTTAAATGCAATTTAATTAAACTCATTGCTTGTGTTCACTTGCAGCTGTTGGAGATGTCCTTTAATGCACTAGGAGATATTGAGAGCAGTATTCCAGTCAGTCCACTGCATCTTGCTGTACGTTCTTTTTCCAAATTAAATTTGTTGGACTGAGACCAGATGTTGACTTAATATAAGGTGGTGACTAAATCCTTGTGCCTCCTACAGGCTGACAGAGGCCACTGGCAGGCACTGCGAGTGCTGACTGAAACTGCAGCCTACGTGGATGTGCAGGATGCTGCAGGCCGTTCTGTGCTCTACCTGGCTGCTCAGAAAGGCTACGCCTGCTGCATCGAGGTGGTGTTGGCCCAAGGAGCCTCCTGTCTCCTCAACGACAACCGCCTCATGTGGACCCCCATTCACGTGGCAGGTATGTTAACTCTTATGGTGAATGTGGTTTTGGGGTTTGATTCGGCATCATTAAGTGAAATATCGCGATATTTCATCGTATCGATATTTTATTGTCTTACATCCCTAACATTTGTTGTTTCTTACCAGCTGCTAACGGACACTCAGACTGCCTGCGCATGATGATCGACTATGGAGAGGATGGGGATCTCACCAACACTGCGGACAAATATGGCCAGTAAGTCGTTTGCCCTGTTGGTGCGTGGTTCAGTTTGTCCTTGTGGTTTTTCAAATTGTTTATTTTTTTGTGTGTGTGTTTGTTTGTTTTAGGACCCCTCTGATGCTAGCTGTCCTAGGTGGGCACACAGATTGCGTCCGCTTCCTGTTGGAGAAGGGCGCCTTACCTGATGCGAAGGACAAGAGGTCCAGCACAGCTTTACACAGAGGCGTAAGTCTACCTGCTGCTGTGTGTCCAGTCGTAGAGTCCAGAGTAGTCGTTGGGTGGAGGTTCAGTTCTGTGGTACCTCCTCTTTATTGTCTACTATGAAGACTACTACAATTATTTTGCTCCTGCCTGTCTGCACTAGTGTTGATGCATTTCGCCTGAAAGATGAACTACGTAAATACGTGTCTCTAATTCAAGTTTTGTTGCGAATCTGACAAAAGTGACTGACAGAACTAAACACGTTATCAAACAGATTGTGATTTATTTTGTACTAAAGATCTACTTAAATCTTGGTCCTCAAAATGATTAATCAAGTGTCAGAGAGAGGATCACAAATACAGCGTTCAACTAGAGCTGTAAAAATGTCTTAACATAAACTATTTCCAGTCATGCTTTGAGAGAGCCACTCGAAAAAGTAATAAAATGACAAAACAGAGTTGATGCGAGTGACATAAAATGAAGTGAAATAAAAACCTACTTTCAGTGAAACTGAACTTGTTTAAAAATGTCTAAGGATATGAAGGAAACCGTGTATTTGTGTTTATTTATGTTAGCGTGTTTGCCTCATTGCCTGTTCTCGTCCTTTCTCCAGGCCATGTTGGGACACGAGGACTGTGTGACAGCCCTGCTGGAGCACAAAGCCTCTGTACTGTGTAGAGACACCCAGGGTAGAACCCCGCTGCACTACGCTGCATCCAGAGGCCACACAGAGATCCTGGCCTGTCTGGTGCAGGCCGCCGTGGCTGAAGAACCACACAAACAACTGCTAGACAACAAACAATACACCCCGTTACACTGGGCTGCTTACAAAGGTTTGACTCGCATCGACACCGTCCCTTAAACTCATGAAAGAATGAATCGCTGTGACGTGACTTCTCTGTGATTCTTTGTGTTTCTTCTCAGGGCATGAAGACTGTTTGGAGGTTTTACTTGAATTTAAAACATTTATCCATGACGAGGGAAACCCTTTTACCCCTCTGCACTGTGCTCTGTGAGTACTTAGCTGGCAGCCGCATATCAACCATCGAAGAGTTTAAGTTAGAATTGTTTTTTCTCTTCCGTCTGGCTCACAGGATGAATGGCCATAGCGGTGCTGCAGAGCGGCTGCTGGAATCTGTTGGGATCCAGATGATCAACACCAGAGATGCCAAAGGAAGGTGAGGCTGTGGACCGTGGCTTTGTTTTCAGTTTTTATTTCAGAAATTATTTCTGTAGCAGAGATGGTGTAGAAACGTCTCCTTCTCTGGTTCAATGTTGTTGTGGACCTAATGAGGATGTTGCTGTGTTTGCCTGAAGGACCCCGCTGCACGCTGCTGCATTTGCTGAGGATGTCGCAGGACTGCAGCTGGTGCTTCGCCACGGGGCAGAGATCAATGCGGTGGACAACAGCGGTCGCTCTGCCCTGATGGTCGCTGCTGACAAGGGACACAGTGGCACAGTGGGTGGGTGTCACGCTTCCTGTTGTTCTGTTGATATTAATAGTCCATCTAAAGTAGTTTCACCAGCCCAGTGCTAAAATCATTTCTCAATTACATATGCTATAAAAAATGATATCAGTAAATCCATCTAAAGTAGTTTCACCAGCCCAGCGCTAAATTTCCCATTTCTCAATTAGATATGCTATAAAAACTGATATCAGTAAATTATTGTTTTTTTTTTTTTTGTTGTCCAGCTATCCTCCTTCACCGGGCCAAGGCTGACCTAACATTACTAGACGAGAACAGGAACACTGCCCTGCATTTGGCCTGCAGCAAGGTGCACAAACTGTGAATGCAAGAATTCAGAAGCAAATATTTAATCAAAGGTCAAGAATTTTCCTGACCTTTCCCCCTTGATCCTCAGGCTCATGAGATGTGTGCCCTGCTGATTCTGGGAGAGATCCACAGTCCCACACTCGTAAATGCCACCAACAGTGCTCTGCAAATGTGAGACTATTCTATAGGTTTTTTTTTAATCCATTAGCAATTTCTTTTTTTTTTTATCCCCGACTACACCCAGGAACTGCAGACTTTTTTTTTATCGTTCTGATTTGCAGCTGTTAAAATTCCACCCCCTCTCTTCCAGGCCCCTCCATCTTGCAGCACGTAACGGTCTGGCTACGGTGGTGCAGGCACTGCTGAGTAGAGGAGCCACTGTGCTGGCTGTGGATGAGGAAGGTAAGACTGTGAAATGACTCTGACAATTGTAAAATAAAAAAATATCTGAAGGAAGGAAGTAACATTTTCAGGAAAACACAAAAAGTCAGACGTCCCACTAACAACGGTGATTGTGAAATAACACTGAAGTGACACTGATGGGGATGTATCGCTGTCCCTCAGGCCACACACCAGCTTTGGCCTGTGCTCCCAACAAGGACGTGGCTGACTGCCTGGCTCTGATCCTCTCCACCATGAAGCCTTTCCCCCAGCGGGACCCCTCCTCCTGCTCCTGCTCCTCCCCCACCGTCTCCCCATCCCCAGGTCTCAACTTGCTGAAGCACTGCGGCATCACCGCCGCCTGCACCCCCCTGCCCAGCAACGGCCTCCACAACGGCTACGTCAAAGACCGTCACGGTGCACCAGTCGGCCTGGACGGGTGTCTGTCTGAGTAAGGTTCCCCTCTCCCCCCGCCTCCTCAGTCAGCTGCTATCACCACCGTCACCACCAGGGTGTGACCCCCCCCAGGGTGTGACCCCCCCCAGTCCCCGTCCCCTCCCCTTTAACGTGGCCCAGAGGACCAGGAGAGCACCCATCTACTTGTCTGTTCTCTGTGTATGTATGTGTTTGTGTGTCTGTGTGTGCGTGAGTGTTTGGTCTTCTCTTGAGGTGCAGTCAAACCTAATATGCAATTAGATCCCATTCCTCCATCTCCTAGTAGTGCTAAAAAAAAAACCTAGAGGCTAATTGCTCTACAAGGTCACTGGGAAGTGTGTCATCCACAGCAGACAATAGCAAACTGGACATCACTAAAACAAATCATGTAACCCTTTAAAACTATGTGCACATAATGATATAAACCACACTTAAGAGCATGGAAATCTCCGTATCCTGGATCGTTTTCTCTTCATATCATTCAGTATAAAAGTCATATCACGTAGGATGGATTTTTCTGTGACCTTGTAGAGGAATACGGCGCCTCCCCGAAAGAATGATCAAAGAGTTTCTTTGTGTATACGAGATTTTCTTTTTCTTCCTTTGTTTTTAAATTGTCTGTTAGTTTAGATTTTTATGAAGGAACCACACAAGGGAAAAAAAAAATCTAAAACTTTTTTTTTTGTTTTTTTTTGTTTTTTGTTTTTGCTTAAGAGTGCAATGCTTGTGTACTACAGTACAATCCGAAAAAAAATTGGAAAAGGGTCACAAAGATGTTAATTCCATAGTGTACTTTAAACTTATAGCCTACAATTGTTTGGCATTTTAAGGTGATTTAGTGATGCTGCTGATACATTAGCATCTCTCCTTCCAAAGGAGACCCACGTTCTGGTCAGCGTTCTAACATCAACCCGTTCCTATTGCTGACGTCATGTTTTAAAGATGCTAAATAAGTGTTTGTTAAGCTAGAATGTTTCTAAGCATATAAGTTATGACCAAAGTTATGATCAACACTACTATGGCTATAAATTATTTATTTGAGATGAACTGTACTGTATAGAGAAAGACAATAGATCTTGATATACCTCGTCAACTCGTTTAGCAGCTGCTTCATCTTCACCCAGGGTCCGTAGGCCTAAAGTTCTCTCTTTGTAGGACTGGAGAACTACTGTAGGATAGTAACTGACTGACTGAGGCCTTGTTTATTTCTAGATGAAGGCTTTACTAGTAATATCTGCCAACAACACCTCATCAAAGCATCATATATCTGAGCACATAAATGAACAAGCCATTTCAATTTGTTTCCCATCTCTTCAGTTTTTTTGTTTGTTTTTGTTTTGTTTTTTTGGAAAAGATTTCTGAATTCAAACGGCCTAATTATTGATAGTGAGCAGTCGATTTTTTGTTTTCAAGGCACCGACAACATTTCTTTTTTCTTTTTTTTTTTTGCCGTTGAACCAGCCGTCGGAGTCGTTGTTTAACAAACTCCCTAGGAGAATTCCTCCGAGCTGGTGAACTAGTCTTAAACATCAAGTCCACTGATCAATTTTAACAACTAAAAGAATTGTCTGCTATTATTATCATTGGGCTGTTTTCAAGCAATATTTTTTTTGGCCTTTTTTTTTTTTTTTTGGTTTAACCTTATTGAATAGACAATCACTGTCACAAGGGCTTTTGTTTCCCTGGAATGTGTTTGGTTTTACTTATGGTTTTTTTTTTGTTCATTATTTCATGAAAATTTACTAAAGACTAAATGAATGGCTCCCTGCGTGCCGGGCATTTTACTGTCAGTGTCAACACAAATGCACTGGACTGCCTTTGTGGCATCTCATGAAATGCCTTTTGACCCATGCCTTCCGTATCGCATCATTTCAGTTGGATTGCGTTTGTAAATGAAGCCCTGGGGCGGATTCGTTTTCCACGCCATCAGTGGCAAAAAAGCGTTTTTAACCACACACTTAAATCATAGGATTGCCCTGCAGATCTGTGTGTGCAACCACATGATCGATGACCAGGGCACTGGTGTCCCTTATAGAAGCAAATATGGCTGAGAGGCAAAGGAGACGGACCTTTGTTGAGGCCAACATCTGATGTTTAGATTTCAGGAATAGCAGAAATCCAAAAAAATGTGCTTTTATTTTGGTGTTAATTTCTTGTCTCCTCACCCCCCGTTTCTGGTACTAAGCATACTAAAGATGATTGTATCGGACCACTAGAGCTGTTTGCGACTTTTAAGATGTTATATCTATGCTATTTTGTCTTTTTTAAACAAAAACACCTGCTGGTGGTTAAAGGACACGCGGCAGGGTTGTTGTTTTGTTTTCATGACAGCTTCATATCCACTGATAATGAAGTGGCACAATTGCACACATTAGCTGACTGGATGAGAGATGAGGACCTGGATGAGCCTATGTTGTTAAATACCCCCCGCCCCCTGAGAAAAAGTCTTTGACCTCATTGTGAACGTTGTTATTGTTGTAGATTAGTAGTCGGCCTTAGATGATCTCCCTCAGCAGATTGAATTGGAAGCGATGGGTAAAAAACACAAAAAAAAAAAGACCAGTCTTTGGTCTCTTGATCATTTTCCTTGTAAGAGAAGAACATTTATATCGTTGTTCATATTAGTGATAGGTGCATAATTTCTCGTGATCTCAGGATCTGTGCTGAAGTCGCAGTCAGAATTTTACTAATCAAATCAGATGTCAGCAGGATGACTATGTCTACATTTTAATGGGATTCTCTTTTTTTTCCACAATTGAATTCTTTGTTAACCCTAATCCCATAGCACTTAATTAGATAGGCAAGGATGCACTTTAGTACATTCAGGTTCTAAGTGTGCAGAGGAGCAGATATAGTGTATGTACCTATGTTTACATGCATGTGTGTTGCTGCTGATTACACAAAGGTAGAGTTGCAAAAGATGAGCAGAGGCTGCAACATCACCGTGCTAACAATGCATTATTTTTGGAAGAAATACAAAAGTGTCTCCAGCACTTCGGGACATTGTCCACTGCCCGCTGACTTTTTTTTTTTGGGTTGTCTATTTTGGGCCCGACAAGGTTGTGATTACCCAGCCTACTGTTAATAACACAGACTGCAGCCTCAGTCACGCAGAGTCAGTCCGGTGACTCGGCAGAAACCTCAGGCGGGCTCCGCGAAATAATCCAGACACTCTCTGCCATCTGTAGGTGCTGTCAGGTCAGTCAGTTCAGGCAGGGATTCCTCCCCCCGACCCCCTCACCCTCTCTCCCTTGCGATGTCCTTATCTGACCATCGTCCCTCACAACTATACCAGGTGTAACAGATTCTTTTTGTTGTGTCACAGTATTCTTGTACTTTGCTTTTTCGTTTTATTGGTGTGATAACTGTGTGACTGTGCATGGAACTAGACCACAATTTTGATAATAGTTATTGAAACACATGGAGCATATACCATACATATATCTGGAGTTAGAAAAAGCAATGAAAGGTCCAATTGTAGCAATAGAGCGCGTGTGTAAAAGTGTGCAGCACAAATATTGCACTGCCATCCATTTAGGCCAATTCTGTAAGTCATTGCATTAATGCCAATGGAAGATTTTAAATGCGGGTTGGATGTTCTAATCTTTGGTCACAAATGAGGCCTGTTTGCCAAAATGTGGAGGGAGAGACTCTCCCGGTAAAGCAGCAAAAGGATTTATGCAGATGTTCGAGCAGTTTACAGTCTGACCATCAAAACTGAGCCATGAATTTTTTCTGACTGAAATGAATGTACGGTCAGTTCAGAGCGGAGCGATTTGCTTTCTCCCAAACTTTCAACACTTGCTTGTCACTTGTCTGGCGGAGTTATGATTAAACTGGTAGCATGTCAAATCCCACCAAGTACAGTACGTGTAGTAGTCTTCCTGCATCATCGGTCTGGATGGGGGTGTGTTTTTTGGCATCATTATTCCACTGTAGACCTGCTCTTTATTACTGTTGATATATATATTGAAATATATACAAACATTTACGTGGAGTGTAGCTTAAAGGGGGGAAAAAGCGAGAAATAAAACGTTCATGTTCATCCATTCCATTCAGACTGCCTTAGAGTACGGTACGACAAGAGGGTCAAAAAGGAGTCACACAAACTCGTCAATAGTCCGTATTTGACAAAAATGCACCTAAGCTACACCCATTTAGTGCCATAGAAAACCTTTATTTGCCTTTGAACATGATTCATATTTACTCGGTCTGTAAGTTATTCAGAAGTTGGCAGGGCTATTACAATTTTGCGTTTGCAGCTGCATGTCTTTTCGACATTTATATTAAGTCATTGGAAGAGAAAAAAACAAAAACATTTGCATGGAGTATCCGTTATAAAAATGCAACTGTTCTGTTAAGTTTTTAGTGTTGATTTTTGATTGGACATGCTTAGAGGAAATGGTTTGGTATTAGCATAGCATACCCCAGGTTGTGTTTGTTTAAAAGATGATAACAATGTGTGGTACCAGGATATAAAAAAACCAAACATGCTTGATGTCCAAAAAAAAGCATGGTACAGTACAGACAGTGCAGGATTGATTTGCCTCCGTCACCATGGTTCTTACTTGAAGTAAACGGCAAATTTCGATTCAACTCTGAATCCACTGTTGAGCCTTTTGCCTTAAAAGCTGAAAAAAAGGAAATGATGAGCCTTTTGCCTTAAAAGCTGAAAAAAGGAAATGATATCTGAGAGTACCTTTAAAAAAAAAAAAGACAAAATGTCAACGTTTGTAGAGTGATGCTACTTGGTTGGATTGCTGAGAGAGGAAAAAACAAAACAACTTATGGCTCATTTTGGACTGGCAGGCACCTGTGGGTGTCCAGAAGCACACACACATTTACTGAGGTAGCACATAGCTGGCGGTTGCCGTGGTGCAGAGATTGTTGTGAGAGGTCAGGATTTCGCCATATTTGCCACTGTGAAAGAATGAATTCAGAATTCACTTGTAAACAATCAGCTTTGGCTTCGTTGTTATCCAAGCCAGATGATTTAAAAAAAAAAAAAAAGAAAAGTGGTGTACCTCAAAAATGCTTAAATGGAAACAAAAAGGAAATATTTATGAAATAATCTTGTACAGCTATGCTTAAAAAAAACAACAAAAAAAAACCCCTTTGTGGTCCACCTCGTCAATGGTAGTGTAATTTCTTTTCGCTTAAGCCAGCCTAGATCAGAGATGTATCTACGCGAAAGTGTTAGATTAGTGTCGGCAGATGTCTCATGTTTCCTACCTGAAGGAGCAGCTAATGCACCTTGTACGTTTTCTATTGGACCTGCAGTTTTACCTCATCACTGATCTTATGTGTGACGACGCTGACATTAATCCTCTGCAATCTCCCTCCTATGGTGTGTCTGTGTGAGTGAGTAACTCTTCATTGTACAGTATGCATGTCGAACAACAAAAAAAAACAGCTTTTTTTTCTTTTTTTTCTTTTTTTTTTAAGGAACGGAGAAGCATTGTAACTCCCTTTTGGGATCGAATTCCACTTCATTGCAACGTAACAAATAAGTCTGCTTTCCACCGCTTGGCGTACATGTTTGAGGGCACAGTCCAACGTGAGGAAGGACGCAAAGGTGGCTGTTAACCTTTACCTCTGCTACTCAAAACAATGTAATTTACATGTTAAACAAAGAATGCTAGGTTGACCACTCTCTCTCTCTCTGTCTGAACACTTGGTTATCAATTTTTCCCCACCACCGCTCAGACCTGTGCAATAACTAGCACAGTGGTGGCACGGTGCCTTTTTTATTTGTTACTACCGAAAGCTAACGGTCTTCCATTTGTGTTTCCCAAAAAGCCTTATACTAGGAAAGAGAAATGACACTGAACATATGTAACCATACTTCATAGTCACATGTTTATGAGTTGAAACGGCAACAAAGAAGGGATTTTTTTTTTTTTTTTTTTTTAAAGCCCCAGTAATTCCTCTGGCGTTAATCTGGAATGCTTTTTCCGTGGAACAAATTGCACAGGCCGATGCAGTTTAGGGCACATCACACATGGAGTGGACAGAGATCAGTTTGTTTGAAAGCACAAATCCAAAGAAGGCACTTCTGGGCTGAGTTGGTTTCCCCTAAAGTGGAAGAAGAGAAATATCCTTAAGACCAGATTTAGACGGGGGGAAAAAAACAACCCTAGAGGAGTCCGGTGGTGCGGGTGGGTTGTGCGACGACTCGCGAGCGTGAAAACGTTGGAATTGATTGTCGATAACACTTCAACTGTAGAAAGATTGATTGTTCTCATTTCTGTGGGTCAGAACCTCACGTTGTGGATTCGACATCAACTTTAGGCAAACTGTTGTGACTGTGTGGCAAACTGATTGTGTTGTATTACTTTAGAGTAGACTGACTACAAGTAGGGGTTTGCAGTAGTAGCTGTGTGCAGTGTTAATAACGGTGTGATCATACTATAGAAGTGACTTATTAACGTTATTGTTGTCTTACTACCACATTAAGGCATGAATCATCTCTCAAGCTGACCTCGTTTGAAAGGGACAAAAGATGAAAGTGCAATAACCTTGTGTTTCTCTTTGCTTCCTCGTTTGGAGAATTAAAAAAAAAAGCAACAAAAAAAAAAAATAAAAATAACGCCCTTTCTGTTGACACCAAACATCAGTTGTCTGTAGCAAATGAAGAATTTCGAGCAGTCCTCTTTGTTTGTTTCCAGAGTGGTGGCATTTGATAGTGGAGTGAGTGATATTCCGTTCTTAAAACTGTGATCAATATTTGACTTTTGAAAAAGCTGCCTGCTCAGAGAGAATGGTGCACAAGTTTTCTGATAGATTCGAGTAGGTGTGAGTGTGTGTTTGTGTGTGCGCCTGCGCGTGTGCGTGCATTTTTTTTCCCTAGTAGATGGATTTTGATGGTATCGTAGTTTGGACTTCAGGTTTTATAGCCAGTAGACATGTTCATTTGCATGTGTAGATGTGTATATGCATCCTCTTCCTCTTTGAATGAAACGTCTTTTTTGGAAAATATTTAGACCTGCTGTCGACGATAAATGTGGAGAAAAGGAACTAAGAAATGCCTTATATTTGTTTTTCGATGTTCAGCATTAAGGGTTCTCTACCTGTTCCTACCTTTTTTCCAGTGTGTAGCCTGAAGCTTGTACAGTTAAGATACTCAACAGATTTCTATCTACTGAACAGCCTGTTTTCACAATTTGTCATTGGAGGTCCTGTGATGATTTTAGAGAAACATTCCCCTTGAAAGTGCCGTTTGTTTTCACCAGCAACAGATGTGGTTAAGGGGGGAATTTAGTTTCACAAAAGGAAAAAAAATGTTAGGAACATTCTCCAGTGCTGAGCGGTGTTGAAGGTTAAAAAAAAAAAGTATTTGTGCAGGTGAACTAAGGCAGCAATCTTCTGACGGAGCACCTTACGGACTCGCTCCCTCCTGTGAGTCCACGTAGGAAGTGGTCTCATGTCATGCTTGATAACTCTAAAACAGAGCCATATTGCAGAATTAGCCCATGACAAACCCCCCTTTGAATGTGCTATTAGGAATAGCCTCTACTGTAGAAGGATGTGTAGTGCATGTTCTGTGGCATTTAAGTAGTGATAATCCCTATTTTCATGTTTTTATGTTTAGTCCGTTTCACTGTAAATGTTACCAACCACCTCATTGAAACCAACAAGCTATTACAATCCTCTCAACTGGACTTAAAGCAGGAGTTGATCTGCTGCTGAGGCAGCCTTAATTTTTTTCCAAATAAGAAAAAAGGGTTACCTGGTTTACTGAGTGGCTTTTCTGGAGAAATACAAAGGAGCCCTTGTTTTGAGTGGAAGGACTTTGAATCAGGGCATGTGATGAGTTACAATCAAATAGTTTCATATGCACCTTCGAATAATAATAATAATAAAAAACAAAAAAGACAAAAAAGTTGGCTCGTCCGCCCAACATTCCAAAGTTGATTTCATATTTTTTCAGTCCTGTCCCGATAATTTTTGCTTTGCTGGTGAATGGAGAGGGCACGTGTGTCAATGACAGGGTTCCCGGTTTTAGCCTAACGCTGATTACCTCATTTACAAATCTGCAAATATACTACTCTACTGTGTCTAAAGGAGTCAATGCCATCACCAGCAGCGTGGTCTTCAGACCTGTGATGACAACAGGACCAATGACGTTACTCTGAAATTAGCCAATCTAAAAATAAGACTAGTCTGGAAAAATAGGGTAAAGACGTGCTTACAATTATTTTGTAAAGCTGAGTGCGGCCTCTTAATTGTTGTTGTAAAAAAAATATTTCTTTTTTTTTTTTTTCTCCATTTAGTAAAACAGCTGCTGCTCTAGTCACGTCAACCGTCAACACACTTCTTGGTTTTCATCACGACTGAAAATTGTCAGATAAATGTACAACTGTGCAAAAGGTGAGACGTAAAAAAAAACAAAATTAGAGGCACTCTGATCTCAGACGTGGACTGGAGCAGCAGCTGCTGGTAGTAGCATGGTTCAAGAAGTGGAGCTGTCGCACGCCTGGTGTATCTCATGATTATTTCAGTGAATGATCGTGTTTGCATCACTTGCTGTTTTTCAGTAGCATTTCTCCTACCTCCTTGTTTTGCAGCCCTGAGTATTGTTTATCTCCACCTTTTCTGAATAATAATAAAAAAAAAGTGTTCCACAGTAAAGGAATACAGATTTATCATAAGCAATGGTAGTTCTAAAGTGTGCTTGGTTGTGCTGTATGTGTACATGTCTGTTTGACGTTGGAAAAAAAATATTTATGAGAAGCATTTATGCGACAAAAAACCACTGGAATGTGAAGCCAGACAAAGTTAAGATGCAGATAACGATGATAGTCTATCCCCTTTAACATTCAGTGGCCAATGGTCAGAGGAATCATCTGTAGGAAAATGAATAATAATGCATTGGCATTTTTTTTTTTTTTTTTGTTCCTCTCATCACGTTGTCTTTTCGTTTGGTCGTTTTCCTCTTGTACGTGTACTTCCTGTTCAGACCTACAGGACGCCCCATTTCAGTGTTTACAGCACCATTTTGGCTCAGTTGTGTTTATACCACAGGCTCCACATAGAAGGGTGGATTTGTAATTCTGTATGAGGGTGAACTTGTGCCCCTCAGCTGTATGCCTTTGAATCCATCTGTTTGCTCTGAACCAAATTTCTGCTCCATAGTCGTCTGTCTCCACACTGCCCTGACATTTGACATTGTGTTTGACTACAAGGGGTACAGGACAAGGTGAACGGTTTGAGGTTTTATGTTTCCCCCTGCTCAAAAGCCACTTTCCACCACTTACCTGTAATGTGTTTATTTCAGGACTGGAAACATCTTCAACATTATCCACCTCACTGTCTCACATAAACCTCAAGCCATTCATTCTTCTGTTTGTTTGTTTTTTTCTTTTCTCGACAATGCAATCCTGAAAGCACTTTGCCTTGTTATTCCTTTGTGTGAACATGTGAATGATAATTTGTTACAAAATGTTAAATATGTAAAAGATCATTCACTGTTTTGGAAAAACCTGCATCTGTCTTTCTGACGTTAAAAGAAAAAAAAACAATTTAGTGACATTGAATCTGAATCTATTTTATAAAATGTTTGCTGCAGCCAATTGGTCTTGTCATTCAGTATTGTGGCTTAGGGTTGTTTGTGTTCAATAAAGTGCTATTGCTAAATAGTTCCTGTGTCTGTTTTATTTATTTAATTGAACAGATTTTTAGCTTAGCATTAGCTAACACATTTGTCTCCTCCCTTTTCTGCAGGGTGTCCTCACCACCAGCTGGAGTACTGGACCGTGAATCATATAATACTGGGCGCATAGAAAGTATTTGTTTTATTTATTTATTTTGTCTCAGTTTCTGGTAGTCTGTATAGTAATTCATTTTAAAAACTGCTGCTGCAATTCCCAACGCTTGACTCTAAAATTTAAACTAACTTTAGCAAAGTTTAGTAAAAACTGTTTTTTAAATTGGGAAAAGGTCTTAACCCTAAATTTAGTGCATTTTTTTATGTCTAATAACAGCATTACATTACTCATTCAATACATGCTTATTGATTTGACTTTTTGTAGATTTTGTTTTTCAAAAATATAAATTTATTCAAAGCCAAGCTGGTTAAACCATCTGGGATAACGATTAAAAGAAAAACACTAAGTAATTGTGTAATATTCTAAGTAAATGTACAGAAAAAAACCTTAAACGATGAACTGTTTGCATGACGACTATTTATTTTGAAAAGACGGAAGTTGCGTTGACTTTTTCATCAAATGAATGGACTTCCGGCAGCGGGAGCAGCCGGGGGGCGGAGCCTCCATGTTTCTGGAGAAGGAGTCTGAACCTGAGGAAGCGGATAGAAACCAACGAATGGCTACGTTGTAACAACGAGGAAATTGTGTGTTATCGAACACTTCTGACTTACCGGTAAGTTTACATGAATGAAATTCACACAGGCTTCGTTAAAACAGACATTTTTACCCTAATTTCGCAACATTTTAGGTAATTAAAGAAGTGATGAACTTGAAGTGTTTGCACTATGCTAATGCATCAGTTGTGATGACGGGACTCACCTCTAAAACAGCATGGCGTTCGATAGTGTTAATGTCACTTAAGTATTAGTGATTACTTCATTGTAAACATTTAGTAGTCATGTAACACGGCACCAGGCCGCAGTGTTCTCTCATTTCCCCGAAGAAGTTATTAAACTGAACTAAAATACCTAAATGATGCCTCAAGGGGAAGTACCTCGGCGAAAAGGTATTTAACAACAAAGACATGACAACAACAGTTTTATTAAAATGTCGGCTTGTTTTAACTTCACCTTGACATGAAGGAGCTACATTTTGAGAGAGGAAATGGCGACTTAAAATAAAAAAAAAGATACTATTGAAACACAAGTTAATAATTTATTTTTCCTGTATAACAGAACGTTACCAGCAACACGAATAAGTTAGTTTAGAATAAATACACAAATAAAGAAATACTGAAAGTCCAATTTTTTAAATGCAAAGCATAAATAATATTTTTCATTATGTAGACTGTCAAATAAACATGGAATAAACGAAATAAATAGCACACAACTACTACTGTAAGTACTTGTAAGTAACCATGTCTAACTTGATGTCTTAGTGATGGTGAACTTTTTTGTTGTTGTGGACACAACATGGTATTTTGATGTGACCTTCACTTGTGAGTGTAGTTTAAATATTGTGAGTATTCAAAGTAAATGTATCCGACTTGTAGTCCCACAATACCACCTCTTGCAAGTATTCAAGAGAATGCACTTTAACTATACTTTTTCCTTTTAAATAATCCAAGGGATTGTTTAATAATCTTAGGTTCAAGTTTAATAATCCTGCACAGCCTCAATGTTGTCATCACCTGACAGATCTGAACACCAGCTGGTATCTCAGTGTGTGTGCAGTGTATCCATCCGTGTCCCTTTTGATGCTTCAGTGTTACCATGTGCAGACCAGAGATTTGGTGATGTCATCGTACAACTGACCCTTACACATATCTTGTTGTCCCAGCGCCGGCTGACATCAGGCAGCAGGACACATTACAGTATGGCTGCCACGCAGCAGAAACCGCTACCAGCGTCAGGGACGGTGGCTGAGTTCAAGAAGACAAAGAATTGCTGTGAGTCGTTTGTTTTTCTTTGTCAGCCTGTATGGTAAAACATTAACACCTTAGCCGAGCCACTAACCAATTATGTGTTAATGTTTTATCATTGTGGTTGTTGTTTTACTCTTAAAATATTATGATGCATTAGGGTCAGAAATCAGCAGGTTGTTTGGAACAAAAAACTCTCCAAAAAAAAAATGAATCATTTACCTTCATAACTTTGCTTTGACGTGACCCATGGAAATATACTGTCTATGTAACTGGTACAAAGAGTGAGATAAATAGTCTTTTACCATGTAAGAGCTTTTTAGTCAATCTTCAATTTTAATTGTTTTAATCACATCTTGACTGTGATTAATTATTTCTAGAAAATTATTAATTAGTAAGGCCTCATAGTGTTTAATTTATTATGATTGTTGGTTCTAGAATTTCAAATAAATAAGATAGTATAGCTAGTAGATAAATCAAGCCTTGTTAATGTATTTATAAAGTTACTATATATTTATTTTAATTACATTTAGCTTAAATAAAAAGCTAAAAAAAAACAAAGTCTCCAGTCTGTACTGCAGCTGTGTTGGTGGTACTTCAGCCTTCTCAGTGATGACGTACCCTCTGTTATTATTTGACACACTATTGTGGGTGTGTTTCCAAAGACATATTTCACCCTTCTATTGTGTAGAACAAACTGATAGTAGAGTGAACTGCTGGCCCAGTCTAAAAAGAACTACATTGAAATACATTTGTAACCCTCCCTTGTTCTATGTCTTAACATTCTAACATATCTTAAGATACTGGTAAAATCTTAAATCAAGTCTGATCTTGCTTGTTCTGTTAAGACCATTTTTTTTTTCTGGACAAAAGCGGGGAAATAAACATAGTTCAAATATTTTCCTCTTCATGTTGGAACCAGTCGAGCTTTAGTTGAACTGAGTTCTCCAGGTGACAGAACTCTGAGGAACATTATCCTTCCCATTGATAAAGATGAGAGCTGTGATATAGAGGAACAGTGTGAGATTGAACCTGGAGATCTTTACTGAATAGATCACAGTGTCTGTCACTCATTACTGTCACAGCCAGGACATGTCATGTATGTTTGTGAACTGTAATGTTCTTTCAGTTATCACATTGTGAACTTGAGATACTATTTAATATGATGAAATGAAAGTAACGTTATATTCTACACGTACAGCATGTATGTTGTATTAAAAAAAATATCTGTGTGCTCAAACTGCAGCCTGGGCCTCATACATGACCAATTCCCCAACTATGATAGTGATGATAGGGCTGCCTGCCAGAGGGAAGACTTACATGGCCAAGAAACTTACTCGCTACCTCAACTGGATTGGAGTGCCGACAAAGGGTTAGTGCAGAAGCATATATATATGTATTTTATATATTTTGTGTGTGTATATATATATATATACAGTATATGTGTGTGTGTGTGTGTATCCATGTGTGTGTAATACTGTATACACTTTTAAATGAATTGGTGTTTGTTTGTTTTGGGAGGAACCTTCCATTGTTTTCAGTACACTGACATCAGGTTGTCCCGTCAAATGACACGTTAGTGAATGTGTTTAATTAATTAGAGATTTTGCAGTAAATACATTTTGAAATTTTTTTTTTCCAAATGGCAGTATTTTTTTCAAATATAAAAAAAATAAGATACATTTTAGTTGATGGTAAATGAACCTACGTTCCCTGCCCTAGTTTTTATAGTGTTATCAGCTTCTTCTGTCATGAGGCCCATACTGTTATTGTAGTCTTTGTGGAATCTTAAGAAGCTGGTTAAGTTGTGAAATATAAGAAGGTCACCGACATGACAGAGTGCAGTGCTTTGAACACACCATTCCTGTCTTACAGTGTTTAACCTCGGAGTTTATCGAAGAGAAGCCGTCAAGTCCTACAAGTCCTATGACTTTTTCAGACATGACAATGAAGAGGCGATGAGAATAAGAAAGTAAGAGTTTCTCTGGCTTTTCTTCTCACCACACCCCTGACTCTGTTTCACTTCGGTGTTCCGAGAGCTTCCTTGTGTTCCTCAACAGATTGTTGACTGTACTAATTATTAGCTGCAGGCAAATGTAATGACATAGTGACGATTTCATGATTCATTTTCTAATTGTGTTTTTGCAGACAGTGTGCTCTGGTGGCTCTGGCTGATGTTAACGTTTATTTAAATGAAGAAGGAGGACAGATCGCTGTGAGGACATAAGTCATTTTTTTTTTTTACAAAATAAGAAATTAAATAGTAAAAACATAATAATTTATTTTATTTTTTAATTATTTTTTCTTCCAGGTCTTTGATGCTACCAACACAACCAGAGAGAGAAGGGACCTCATTCTCAATTTTGCCAAAGATAATGCTTTTAAGGTCAGCATTACATTCTGTTCACATAGAGTTTTTTGTTTGTTGTTTTCTCAACAGATTATCATTCCCTTTTTTTTGCCAGGTGTTTTTTGTGGAATCAATATGTGATGACCCAGATGTCATTGCTGCTAATATACTGGTAAATGACGAGTAATTACAAGAACCTGGTTTGTTCCTGAATTGTTAAGTCACTGTGAGTCATCACCACAAATGTCTCTGTCATAAAGGATGTGAAAGTGTCCAGCCCAGATTATCCTGAGAGGAACAGAGAGAGTGTCATGGAGGACTTCCTGAAGAGAATAGAGTGTTACAAAGTCACCTACCAACCGCTGGATCCAGACGAACACGACAAGTAAAACCTTTTTTTAAAGTTTACTTTAGTATACTCTATTATAGTTAGTGGTGGAATGTGATTAAATAAATTAACCCTTCTATGACTTTAGAGGATTTGTTCATTTTTATTAATTAGCAATATTTGACAAGATAAGTAAAAAGGTTTTGCCACTGCCACCTACTGGGCTAGAATGTTCATCAATTTTATCAATGCACCAGAAATTAGGTCTCTGAGAAAGCAGCTTTTAAAAATGATTTTTTCTCACTTTCTCTGTAACTACTTAAAACCATGTGTTCAACACACTGTAGCAACACAACAGTTTTACTCAAGTCATCTTTATTTGTGTAGCTCTATGCTCAAAGTACATGTAGCCTCAGTGGACAGTTTATGCTAAGAGTCTTCTCCCAAACACTCCTGTAACAAGGAATGGAGGAATATATAAACACTATTATATTACGTTCGTCTTTACAATTCAAAGTAGAGCAGAATTTTATAGAGTTTTACAAATATTTGATGCACACTGAACAGGCACATTTCTGGCCTGAGGGAATGTTTTTGGTCTCTTTTGGTAATAATAATAAAAAGTGCTGGGGCAGAATATGTCCAGCAGATGGAGCCATAAGATCGGCAGATTTTCTGCACCAACGTGAATGACAAATCTGTGTTGTTTTGAACTTGTTTTGAACTCTTTATGAACAACTCGCCGACAATTATTTCCTAAATATTGACCCACTGTTCTCTCTCCACTCTGACCAACAGGAATTTGTCCTTCATTCAGGTCATAAATGTTGGCTGCCGTTTCTTGGTCAACAGGGTGCAGGACTACATCCAGAGTAAAATCGTCTACTACCTCATGAACATCCACGTGCACTCGCACTCCATCTACCTCTGTCGCCACGGGGAGAGCCAACACAACACCGAGGGACGCATCGGAGGAGACTCTGAGCTGTCGGACAGAGGGAAAAAGGTTGAACTAAGACACATTTTTATACATTAAAGTTGAAAAGATGATGCAGATTCTCCAAGAGCCCAAATGAGATAAAACATCAGTTTATTCCTAACAACCTTAAAATTCCATCATCATTCCTCTCTTATCAGTTTGCAGCAGCTCTGAAGGATTTTGTTGAAGAACACAAGTTATCAGACCTGAAGGTTTGGACCAGCCAGCTGAGACGTACCATCCAGACGGCAGAGGAACTTGGGGTTCCTTACGAGCAGTGGAAGATCCTGAATGAGATCGATGCTGTGAGTTCTCTGCAGCATCATAGCAGGCGGTTTATTTAGACTCACTGATGGTCTGGTGCAGGAGTTCACTCTCAGTGTGTCTTTGTGTTTCAGGGAGTGTGTGAAGAGATGACTTACAAAATGATAGAGGAAACTTACCCAGAGGAGTTTTCCATGAGAGACCAAGACAAGTATAACTACCGCTACCCTGGAGGAGAGGTGAGAAAAGAAGTTCGTTAAAAAAAAAAACATACTGTAGATTCCAGACACAGATTATTTTTGCTTCTTATGTTGCTTTGTATTTAGTTTTTTTTTTTTAGTCCTACCAGGACCTGGTCCAGCGGCTGGAGCCTGTAATCATGGAGCTGGAACGCCAGGGCAATGTTCTGGTCATCTGTCATCAGGCCGTCATGCGCTGCTTACTCGCATACTTCCTGGATAAAGGAGCAGGTCAGATGATTTAATCTTTCTCTTTAGTTTTCCTCTTCAAACAGCTACTGTTTTAAAGACTTTATTCAAAATAATGGGATTCTTTCCCATATTTTGAACTGCTATTTGGCAAGACCATCTAAAAGTTATTTTAGGAAGCGTCCAACAAGGATTAGACGCATTCACTCATCTTTATGATACAAAAATAACTTTAAAAAAACCCACAGTCACTGTAAAAACTGCTGACCAAATGTAGGTGCTTTACAAATTAAGTCAAAGAATTAACATTTTTGTTAATTTTAAACATCTGGTATTACTCCTTAAATTACTGTCCAGGGGCTTTCAGTGTCTTTTTATGTATAAAATTGATTTTTTTTGAAGAGTTTTGTTGTGGATTGTGGATGTTTAAAAAGAATTTCCCCGGTGGATCTTTCTGTAGTAGTATATAGTATGTTCTCCTCCTCTTGTGTGGGTTTTCTCCAGAGCCTAAAAACATGCTCAGTAGGTTGAACAGTTCTGTTAGGCAACTGAATGTGAAATTTTCCAGTTGCCTAACAGAACTCTTCAACCTTGACCATGACTTGGATGACTGAGAATCTTAATAGACTTCATGCTCATGTTCATCAGACACACTAAATTGACCATAGAAATGAAAGTTGATTTATTGGTTTCCTGTAAAGGAATGAGCAGTAGGTGATGGGTGGGTGGAGGGAGACTGAGTCTTAGGAGAAAAATGATAAAAAAAGTTTAATCTTGCCAGTTGGAAGAGTTAAAAAGGAACAGACAGTATGATTTCCAACTGTGTTTCTTATCGCTGATGTGGTGCCATTGTTATTTTTAAATCTTCAGTGACAAATGTCTAACAGTCGATGCCCTGTTCCCACAACACCAGATTAGGACAACCTTGGAGTTGAGTTTTCCTCCAATCTAATCTTTGCTGTTGTTCCATCTGCAGCTTCTTCTGAGATACATTTATGAATAACCGGTCACAGTCTGCAGGTCATCCCAAGACAAAATAAAGTAGAATAAATCACAGATATTTTGTAACAATATCTACGAATCCTGTGTCTAATAATCTCTGTGGCTCTGAAGAGAATTCATTTTACGGTACTTTGTGTTTTTAGAAGACTTTTAGAAGTACTGTGTAACAGTTTTAGGCAAAGTTGTATATTCCCTGTTCCTTTATGTTGCTTCATTTTTTGTAGCTGTTTTCTTGTCTAAGTATTTAAAACTAATGCAAAAGAAAAATTAACAAATATTCCACAGCCAAAAAATAAATAATCCAGTCATTATAGGGTCACAGGGGACATTTCAATAGTACATTTAGTATAAATCTGAATGTGTTTTTTTTTTTTTTTGTGGCTGAGAGGGGAAGCTGAAAACCACCTCGTAGCTGGGGAAAAAGTCCTGTGCCCTGCCGAACAGAACCCTGATGTTTTTCTTCCTTTAGTTGAAGGCAAACACTTACAGTGACGACTTAAATAGAAATGACTTTTGACAATGGTCTGCGGTTTGGACGGCGGAGGGTTTCGTCAGCAGAAGAGACAATGTTCCCACACATGACCTGTTGTTTACAGATAAACAAACCACCCCTGTGTGGGCGGAGGTCTTGCGAGACATGAAGCAACACAGTCAGATGCTGTGATAAACCACAGAGTACAGCAGTTTGAATCACCGTCTTAAATACATACGAAAGGCTGTGGTTGTGAAATACTAACATACGTCTATTTTCTTTGTTCAGACGACCTCCCTTACCTGAAGTGCCCCCTTCACGCCGTCCTTAAACTCACCCCTGTGGCCTATGGTATGTGTCCACCTTCGGCGCCGTGAACCATGTTTTGATACATTGGTGACAATTCTACTCGTATCGTTCTCTTCTAGGTTGTAAAGTGGATGTGTTTGACCTTAAGGTGGAGGCTGTCAATACTCACAGGGACAGACCGCTGGTAAGATACAGTATATGCACTGTGTTATTGTTGTTCTTATTTCTATTTTCAGTTTTTGTAGTTTTACTTCTACAACTCCATAAAAATTGATGCCTGTGATTTTGTACAGAGGTGAAATAAGAGTTCTGTCAGAACAGAGAACTGACGCTACAGATCTAAGTACTAGCAGATTTCTTACTTACGTAAATATTTATTTACATATATATAATATTTATATATTGAGTAAATATTTATATAGTTACCTGGGTAAATCGTTATTCATCGGTTCTATAGTGTAGTGGTTATTATGCCTACACGTCTGCCTTACAAGCAGAAGGTCCTGGGTTTGAGCCCCAAAGGGAAACATATACTTAATCCTCCTCATGTCAGTAATGTCTGCTAAATGTTTTTGCGGTCACAAAATACTGCATACTGATGAAGGCAACCGTGGAGCGTGACTCTCCTTTGCGCTTTTAAAAAATCTGACTTGTTTGTGGACTTTGTTGTTGAAAAGTTCGCAGTTCACAGAGTAACACAACATTTCTCTTTTGAAGTTGATCAAAACAGTTTTATTAACATGTTTCATCTCCAGGCAGTTTTTTTTTTAGAAAAAAGAAATTGTTTCTTCCCTTCTGCATGTTTATTTTGTGTTCTCAGCACTGGCCATTTATCAGCATTTCAATGCAAACCTAAACTGTTCCTAAGAGCAACCAACCCTCTGAGCTCTTTCTCTGGAAGTGCTAATACAGCTGTCCCCATCTTGTGTAGTTCATGGTAATGAGATTGTGGTTTTGCTCCCGTCACAGTCCGTCTACTGAGGAGAGTGTGTGAAAACCACTGTAAAAGCCTCATTGTGTTCAACAGTCCCACGTTGTTCGTCTGTTTTGTCACTTCACCAGAAAACGGCTCACACTGAAGCAGCCACGCCTGCTTTCCTCAGAAGGAACAGCTTCACCCCACTGTCCAGCCAAGACCAGATCAAACGACCTCGTCTTTACAGCATGGGCAACCCACCTCAGACACGCACGTCCCAGGCCCCAGCTTTACCCAACATGCAATTCTCCGAGGCATCGGAAGGAGCGGAGTTAACGCGCAATGAGGTCAGTCTTCTAAACAGCATCTTATGCCAAATGCAGAGAACTGTACAGTGGTTAGTTGTACGTCAGGTGAACCATTTGAAATTAACGACAACAAAAGAGAGTTTTTTTAAATTCTTTCTCTTGATGCACAAATGTTTTGGTAGGTGTTTGACAGCAGGAGGTTTTAAAGTATAACACTGAGGGCCTCCCTCCAAGGAGTAAAAACAACTACTGCACCGCCATGAACCACACACATGCACAAGTGAAGTGCCATTAAATTTCATCATCTATGTTAAGGTTGCAGAATTTGACAAAAAAAGTTGAAGACTCCACAATCATATGCTGGAGGTTGAGTTGGTATTTTAAGCCAAAATTGCCTCCATGAAATGAAAACCTTTTTCCGAAACCCTTTTTGTGCCAACGTAAGTTAGACCATAATATAATTCTGCTTTTGCATTGGAGCTAATACATATTTAAATCTAAATAAAATCAAAGTTCAAAACTGCTCCGAATAACCTGAAACTTAAAGCAGTTTTTTAGTCAAGTTTTTCTACTACAGTAGAAAGAAGGATTGTTTTCCTCAGTCGGTGACTTCAGATTTTATTATTAGCTCAACATTCCATCAGTGCCAGTCAAAACAAGCTGCTGCCTCCCCCTCTGGTCTAGTACTCACAGTTCCCTTTCTCTCCGTCCCACAGAATTCGTTGGCCAGTTTCAGTGCTGGAGACACAGGTGAATGTGTGCGAAGCTAAACACAGCCATAGCCTAGAATATTATACAAAGCCATTGATATAACTCCTTTTAACTAGCAACAATATGACATTAATTTATATCCTGTTAGAACTCTTTGGTTTTATGTTGCCTTCTACATGTTGTGTGTGAATATGTTCACATTAACACTGAAGTAATATGTGAATTCAGTGAAGAAATTTAAGATTTGAATTACACTGGAAATGTTCTTGTTATTTAAAAACAGATTAACTACATGTTCAATTATCAGCTGAAACAAATATAGTTATCTGGTAAGGTGCCTTTCTTTAAAAGATTTTAAGTACAATGGCTGTAGCTGTGTTCCTGAAATGCAAAGTAATATAAGTTGGCAGTACCACTTGTTGTCACATGTCACCCTGAAACACACAAATCTTAATAAATGGAAACCCAAGTGTTGGGTTTGTGTTGAAAAACAACACCTGTTTTCATAAAACATTTGTCGGTAAACTACCAAAAACTTTGAAACTATACACAATGTTTATGGCCAGACTTTTACAATAAAGTGCCATTAAAATAAATCTTACACATTTATGAACTACACTCACTTCTG